CTATTATGAATTAAACTCAATCTAGAGAAGAAAGGAAAGAGAAGAGGAGCACTCGAGCAGTGGCTCGATCTATATACAGCTATTGTGGAGTGAATTCTCTTTAGCGAGACCAGTTCTGAGAATTCACTCCACAACTGAAAACTTCGCTCCAACCCCGGAAAGCTCCCCACACCCCTGAACCCCCACTCGAGCTGCAAGGCGCACTTGATATCGTAACATCCGGAGTCGATTGTAAGCGACCGCGGACCCCAATTAGTATCATCCTTTTGGCAAGAGTTCTGTCAAATTATCAGCGTTAAGGTTAAGCTGTCGACTGCCTATCATAAGCAGACCGACGGGTAGACGGAAATCATGAACTGATACATCGATCAGAGACTGAGGCCTTTCATATCCCATTATCAGGATAACTGGAGCGAACTCATCCCCATAATGGACCACGTGCAAATTACACTCCCCCACGCATCCATTGGCATGACCCCCTACTGACTCAAGTACGGAACCGATCTGCGTACGAGTTGGGATTGGAACACTCCGAAAAGCACCAACCCCCGGGAGACCCTAAACCGAGAGGAAGCCAAGGTGGTGGCAGACCGAATGCATACCGTATGGGTCCACGCAAAGGAAAACATGGCAAAGGCACAAGAGGAAATGTCTAAGCACGCGAATCGACGCCGAAGGGCCATCGACTGGGACATAGTAGATAGAGTGTACCTATCTGTAACGCTGACTTCTAAACGATAGAAGACACAGAGGTTCTCTTGCGTAAAGGTTTACTTATCAGAGGAGGCAGGGGATCGGACACAAAGGCTTCAAGTAACACGTTACTAGTATATAACAAATACTGTATTGAGTTAAGCACGAAGCTCCTATCTAAGGAAATACTATCTACTTATATAGTGGCGTCGTGCCTAGTGGACTCCTAGGAACTCACTCGAGTCCTCGGAGTCCTGGACTCTTAGGATTCTTCTCATCATCCTGCGAGTCCGTCACGTGCCTAGTGGACTCCTGGGAACTCACTCGAGTCCTCGGAGTCCTGGACTCTTAGGATTCTTCTCATCATCCTGCGAGTCCGTCACGTGATACTTTCGGAACTACTATTCCCCGCTGCCCCTCCAGGTACCAGGGCCGGTCTCATGCGACCTCCCTCCTTCCTGTCCTGTAGTTGGCCAGCCTTCTTGGTCCGTCGTAACACTATCGACCAAAAATTTGAAAAACTCTCGTCCTAGCTGCAAGCTGGGCCAACAATGGGTCGGACCATATACGGTGTCAGAACGGATTGGGCACTAATTTCGATTGGAACTACCTACCGGTTCGCAAATACACGATGTGTTCTCACCAGACGTACTCATGAAGGATCCTAACAATCCCCTACCTGGTCAGGATCCGCCTGAGCCTAGCAGCGAAGTAGAGGAATGGGAACTGGAAAAGATCCTCGCTGTAAGGCTCCACCGGAAGCAACTACAATACCGGGTTAGTTAGGTCGGATACGATCCAGACCCGGAGTGGTACCCAGTGTCAAACTTCATGAACTCTCCCCAGTAACTCAGAGAGTTTCATACGGAATATCCAGATTTACCAGGTCCATCTCAAGAACTACTCAGAGGTGTTATGGTAGGGGAAACGGGAAGGGAACAAAACTACGATCACGGAGGAAAAGACAAAGCGGAGGAAACAGAGTCGTTGCTGTCTGCGACTCTACGCTAAAATACCCTCCGAGCCAGGGCACACTCACCACCGTAACCCTTGCAGGAGTCACCCTTCCCAAACGTCTCACCAGTGTCTCAACAAGCGGCTACCACCATGAGAGATGAAGGGTCGAAGTGACCCCACGCGAAGGGCCAGGCCCGAGTCCCCTCTGACACAAGGTCTTCCCCCACCTAGGCCCCATAGGCCGCCCCAACTTCCCCATCCTCCCCCTCCCTCCTTCCATCACCCCGAGTCGGAGCGACCGTGGGAGCGGCAGCGGTGGGCAGTTTGCCCACAGCAGCCACCAACTCCCCCAAGAGAGCAGGAACGCTCTCCTGTTCCATCCGGAGACGGCGCAGTGATGACCGAATTTGCTGCCCAGAGTCAGCATCGGAACCACATCGAGTCACAAGGGGAAGGGGGTCTACTCACGGCCAGCCCCAACTCGAGGGCAGCCCGAGTGGCGCGTGCCTCCTCGTAGAGGTCACGCTCCACCTCGGAGCGGAACTTTGGCACTTTGGCATGCTCTGGGCGGCCAGGAGGGCCACCCGATTGGCCTCGGTGGCGGCGGCAACGACGTCAGTGGGGATGAGGGGGGTGGCCTCTTCGGCGGCCAGGAGGGCCGCAAACTCTTCCACAAGGAACCAGGGCAGCTTTCACCAAAGTCAGCAATGGCCAACCAAACCAAACACTGAACCCCACAAGAAAACCTACCGGGACGCAAGGCGAGTGCTGCGACGTGCAGTACCCACACTTTGAACTGGTCGGGGACCAGACGCAGTCGTGGGACTGGATCCCATGGGCTTTGGCCCAAAGGCAGCGCAAACAGAGCACACGGAAGGTGACAGTAAGAGCCCCGGAGGGGGTGGGAACCGGCATCTTCAAATTTGGAATCTGTGATTCCGTCAGCCCAGCACAAGTTATCAACACCGCGCCAACGCGCTCTCACCACCTACTCGTTCTTTGGATTGGAGTTATACTATACAATCTATCAGTATCATAAACAAACGGATGGGGAGGGGCCACTTATCAGTCTCGGGTGGGAGGGTTGCTGGCGTTGTTGTTGTAAGGTAAAAACAAGAGGAAGTGGGCGAAGCGGAATACTCAAATGTTGGCTTACAACAATGAATGCCGAATCGGGTTAGCGCGGCCACTTCTTCTTTCACGTTTTACGAAAATTCTACTCAAACGTGTAGCGGACACCTTCCGGTACTATTTCGGACCCCAAGAACGAACGTGAGATCCAACAAAAGTGAACTCCAGTTTCGCATGCCACACGGACCCTAACGCGATACCACCTCGGGATGACTACGGTGGCAAACAAAGCACCTTCCCGACGTGCACGACAAACGAAGTTGTTCTGGACGCAATTACCAGCCAACATTATGATAACAAGAAACGCTCCGTTCACGGAGACGATTTGAAGACATTGTGGACATCATACTAGCCGCGTGCCTTGCGGACAAAGCACTCTCTCAGGAGGGGGGTAGTGTAAGGATGCCTTCTCGTCTCTCATTCTAGGGAGTAGACTCCGGGTAGCCGCGGGGTCACGTGTGATCATTTGGGTGGGCTAACCGAGTCAGAACCGAGTCAGATGGGTTTCGGGTACTTGAGAAAATCGACTCACGGGGTTCCCCCATCATCTTTTTTGTATCCTTCGTAGTAGACCTATAGGATAGCATCCGTTTAGCCTCCGACTCGCACTCTCATATGCTATTACTGTGAGGTGTCCTTACACACCCTCACCACGTGACTGTGACTTGTCCGACTCAGATACCTTCCGTCACTGAGGGAGAGGAACCCCCATTTGTCATACTGACATTCGTTGCACTCAGTTTGCTATCAAACTCAAGAGCAAACTTGGAAATCTCCTCCTCAAACCTACAAGTCACTATACATATTTTGGCTTATCACACCAACAACAAGAGCAATACTACTCAACGATTGCTACAACCATCTATGATTCATTACACGTCATTGCTCCTTAGTTACTGGGCCGATATTACCACATAGCATATCTCTACAACCCTCTATGATTTATTACATGACATCACTCATACTACCACATGACATATCTCTACCAACTAGAGGCCTAGGAGCATGAACGATAGCTCTAAAAGCTCCTACGAACCTCTATGATTCATTACATGTCATCGCTCTTTAGTTACCCACAAGATTGGTTAAGTTATGACATAATTTGTCTATGACATAATTTGTCTATGACATAATTTGTCTATGGCATAATTTGTCTATAGGGGTACTCTGACCTTGGACCTCCTTTTACTTCCTATAGGCTACGAACCTAAGAGATGGTTCTATGGGATTCTCTTACGTCGACTACAGTTACCAAGCCTGGTAAGTCATGGAAAGTCTTGGAAAATGAGAGAACTACACTCCTTTAGCATAAATAGGATTGCCCTTTCCTTAAGAAAGGGCAAGCAGACAATACAGTAAATCGACTATCACATACTTCCACGTCTTTTCCAAGCTTCCAAGCATTCATCTTGTTACTCCTTGTTTCTGAAAAGTCAGTGAGGTGTTAACCTCTGACTTACCCCTGAGTTCCCAGACTCAACATTTGTTGCAACTTGTCTGAACCACTTCACTACATCACACACCTGATTGCTGCGTTGTGGAATAGTCTAAGCTACGACCCTTTGGCTCTTTTTCCTAAGACAGTGTGTTGTCTTAGTAAATTCATCCCTTCCTTGGGTGGCTAGATTCTCACATCTGGTGCACCCACCATTACACCATTGGGTCAATCTCCTCAAGTACCCGAAACGGGTCCGACTTGGCTAACCTGCCTTTACTCTTATCATGTGACCGTAACCTGCCAGTCTCAGATCCTTTCTGTCACTGAGGGACAGGCATCCTTACAGTTTTAATCTAATGTCTATATTAAAGCTTTAGCAGAGCAAAGCAGCTAACATTAAGTCGCTAAAGGATGTGGAAGGAGTGTAGTGTCATATAGAGGGTAATTATCTTCCGTTCTATATAGTAGTGTTGAAATTAAGCTAAGAGTTGGCTCTTATGTCTGTTAAGAATAAGGAGGCGATAGGTTCTAATCAAACGACTGTTTGTATGTTAATTAAAGCATTAAATCCACTTATACCTAATTGAATTTGAAGTCCACCCATTCTCACTTAGTATAATCACCTAATCATCTAGTAATCCCGAATCCTTATACTAAGCTAAAAGGTGATTCTGTGCCTTGAAAATGATGAATGGCAGGAGTGCCCATCTGTATGAATTAACAGACTCGCATGTGAAATACGTTGCTCTTATTTAATTATTTGCAAGTATTGACGTTGACGGTACGTGCTTTTAACGCGAGAACCACACTAGTACCAACCCTCGATGCCTATAGGGACGGTTATTTAGCTCCCACCGCAGCTTAAGCCGACCGCTTGTAGGTCCGAAGGATAACGGTCTTTTTGGCCGGCTAGAATAGGGCCTCCGACCGCCCTACAACCGGTATACAACGGCTATCTAAAACAGGTATATTCCGGTAAGCGGCAAGGGTGTGTTGGCGCCCTGTGCCAGCCCCCTATACAAGAGTGTGCATCTCGATTCACAGGCTGTATATATCTGCGACATATGCAGCACACTATGCAGAGTTCACACACTATATACACACTAATGGCGGCCACCTATGCACGATCCTACCGAACTATATCATGCATATATATTTCTGTACATATTAGTGGGTGTGTGAGCGAATGGGGGAGCCACAGAATTACCTATCAGCGACGGCGGAGTTAGGATACCAAGGCAGAGAGGAACATGGTGGTAGGACATGGGGTTAGAACAAGGCTACTATCTGCCCGTATTACCCGACTGGCTGTCTTCTTGAGGTTCAGTACAAAAAACCAGCCGAGGACTTTTCGGAGACAGACGCTGGGGACGGAGTTTCTATCCAATGTCAACGCCCGTGTCCGTCCCTGCGCATCATCCTCGCGCACATGGTTATGCCGCGCATTTGAGACCTCCTCGAAGGCCAATCTGGATTTATATAACGGCCAATGGTGAACGAAAGCTTTCCCACAGCTCGCCTCAAAATTATCACACCTTTTCCGTAATGGCTTGGGAGGAAACAGACCTCGGGGTGTACAGAGCGGTATTTGGTGGATCAGAGAAAATTTACCATAAGGTTGCGACTCTTTTCGCCCATCTCAAACGTGAGCACTATCGCGTCCACTGCGTCTGTTCCCTTGAGTTTAGCTCCGAGTTTGAAGAACGCGATCCTGCCACCGCCTTGAAAGAAGCATGGAAGACTTTGCGGACCGAGCTTCCAACTTTGGGAGTCCTCGCGGATGGACCAGGCCACAAGGTGTACAAAATTCTTGATGTGCAAGGCGAGCGAGATTGGCTCGACCGGAGTTTCTTCCTCGAGCCACATGGGAAGTCTTCAGATGAGGTGATCGCGCGCGAACCGCTCGACTTCCCGAGCCTCCATTTTATGCCTTCCTCATCGGAAGTCATCTTCCTATGCTCGCACTGGCGCATCGACGCCATAGGCACCAACTGGGTCCTCGACCGACTCTTCTCCCTCCTAGTCGCGCCTCGGGCCACTTTGCACAGCGTCCCAAGCCTTGACGTGGTCTCTCCCGGCCTCGAAGGAGCCATCGGGAGCCTCGAAACCTGGACCGAGGAGCAGGAAACCTACGCCCGCTCCTACATCCAATCCTTCCGTGCGGACTCTTTTCCCAACGATCGCATGCCATACAAAGGCGATGCAGCAACGCTGCCAGGCAACCCCGCCCGCCAGACTGTTGTTTTCGACCCGACGAGCACGGCGCACGTCATCGCGGCGTGCAAGGTCTTGGAAATCAGTGTCACAGCCGCGGTGCATTCAGCACTTGCGCAAACTGTATTCGCGCTCGCTGATGGTGACGACGGAGATCAACCTGGGGAGAAACACGACTACACGTGCGCTACGTCGATGAACTTACGCCCAAAGCTGCCCGCGCCGTACAACACCCGCGCTCACGCCGTCCAGACCTACGTCATCGGCTGCGCGTGCCGTGTTCGGCGCGATAGCAGCTTCGCTGATGCGGCGAGAGCGCTCACGAAGCATTACAAGGTCGCGTATGGTGATGAGCGCGTGCTGCAAAGTTTGCGGCCGATATACAAGTTCAACAGCGACGCTACGCCCGTGCAGCAGAAAAAGGGGAGCGCGGCCGCCACTCCGTCTGCTGTGGTGTCACCGCCGCCACTGCCTAGCGGCATCACGATTAGTAGCATCGGCATTGTGGACAACTATCTCACGGGTGTGTATGGCGGTGGGGATGGCATGCCGGCGGTGAGGGTACGAGAGTATCATTTCGGCATTGACATGATGACGCGGCAGATGATTATGTATGTTGGTACGTTTCGCGGGAAGCTGCAGTTGTCGATTAGCTATAATGCGGGGTATTATGACCCGGATGTGCCGCGTGATGTGCTGAAGCGCGTTGGGAACGAGTTGGAGAAAGGACTGGGAGTGGAACTGGCGATTTGTGAGCCCAACTTAGCAGGCCCTTTAAGATCTCTCTAGCTCCTACATGTGTGATTTGGAATGCACCAAGTCAATAAATTCCGAACCCTTGCTCTGCTGTTTCCGAAATGCGCACTTCGTTGCAATCGAGCCTTCCGAAAAACACAGTATATAGCAGCGATCCCCTCCTGTATTTTAGTTGAAGAAGAATAGAACGTCAACCAATTAGAGCAGCAAAAACATCAATTCGCGACACCCGTCAACAACTACAATCTACCACAAATAATCATCCTGCACCTCCCAAATCCTCAAACATCACTTGCAGTCTCACACAGCACACCGTACATCCGTTTCTAGACAAAGTCTAGCATGGCGAGCATCACCTGCTTGCGGTTACTCGTTAACACTCCTACAGTTGCGCTTTCGGACTGCTCGGTTTCTGGCCACCAAACCCGCAGCTCCGGAATGCATGCCGAGCTAACATCGATCCTAGGGGAGAATCTGTCCCTGGATGCTGGATTGGATTCAATGGATTATAGTGAACTTCGAATCTTGTTGCTGTATGTTTTAAAGGCGCAGGTACTGATACCGGAAATATTGCCTGAGGGCTCAGTCGGTACCACTAAACATGCCCTTTTCGAAAGCGCGGACGTCAGTTAATGTTGAACTGCGCTGCTGCGATCTGTAGAATAGTGATATGATAAACACAAGTATCACGAGTAGTGTCTAATTGATCAGAAGTGAAAATGCATAATCAATTAATCTAGCTACTCTAACTACTAGCTATTCTCAGAGGTGGAAACCCAGAGCTTTCCTACCTAATTAGGCGAGCTCTAGTCTTAGCGCTAGCCAACTCCCGATTTAGCAATCAGGCTAGCCGCCCTCAATCTCCGGCGGCACAGAGTGAGAACTCCACAGTTAAGACCGAGTTCCTACTTTGAGGGTTGATAATAGCAAAGCATAGTTTTAGGTCTCCTAATCGTTAGCTTGGTTACCTAACCATAGGTATGGTAGCGTTGTACTTAATAGTCACATTGACTAAGGCGACGTAGAACGCCAGCCAGCCGAGCCCGGACTTTTGATATGCTGCTCGACTCCATTAGGTTATAAAATAAGAGGTTAATAGCTCCTGATAGTAGTATTTCCCAAATCAAATTTAGAAGCTTAATGGTGAGAGTGATTCTACAAAGAGAGTTGCATGATGTATTGGAGGCTCTAAGCTATCTAATGAAAATTGTTTTTGAGTATTACGGACCTTTTCGGACATTTCTATCAACTTTCAAAACTTTCACTTCTAACCTAAAAAAATCAACCCTTGCACGCACGGAGCGCAATTCTCGAAAGGGACATTCATAGCACTATTTCCAAGTTTTCAGGCATACAGATATCCCATCTTCTTCCACGACGTGATATAGCGCCTTGCCACATCGAAATGGACGGGCCCTAGTTCAGCCATCGTACGCGAATGCTCCTTCGCCTTCGCCGTGTCCAAAATCAACCCACCACACGACATGCGCTCAAAGTTGTCGTCCAAAAAATCAATTAGCCTGGCGGCAGGATTGATCGTCTCGGCCGGCAGGGGCGACCGCCGCACCATGTCTACCCAATCACGAAATGGCATGATGCGGTCAGCTGGGATGCCCAGAGCGTCCGCCAGCACGGGATTCATTTCCTTCCACAGCTGCCCGACAGGGTTGTCAATGTGGTATACGGGATATGGTTCTGGGGCGTTGTGAAGCTCGGCGACGCGACACAGATCCACCATGACGCCGGCCGCGGCGTCGACGGGCACCCACTGGAGCACGCCGCCGAAGTCTGGCCAAGCTCGCAGCGTCTGCGCCGACTTTACCAGGAACGCGAAGTGCTCGACGGGGTTCCAGAAACCGCTCGTCCGCGACCCCGCTATTTGTCCGGGGCGTACCACCATAGTGCGGAAGCGCTGCGGGTACTTGCCGAGTGTCTCGTCGAGCATGCGCTCGCACACCCATTTGGCCTCGCAGTAACCAACGGGTAGCGTTGCCGTAAAGGGCACGCGATCCTCTAGTACTCTGGCCTTGCCAGCCTCACCTACGACGCCGATGGACGAGATCAGCTGGAAGCCGATGCGGATCCCAGCGTCGTTGTGCCTGTAGTCGGCGACATCGCGTGCTAGGTCCAACAGGTTGCGCAGAGACTGGAATTGGGGCTCGAATGCCTTGATGGGCCGTGTACCGCTCATTGGCCAGGCGTTGTGCACGACATGTGTAACATTGCGCACAAGCCAGTTGTACTCATCAACTGGCAAACCGAGCTGTGGTCTGGAAGTGTCGGTTTCGAGGACACGGAGCTTTTGTTGTGCGCCAGCTGACAGGCTGATGCCGCGGGACGAGAAAGCTTCAGCTTGGCGCTGATTTAACGGCTTGCTAGTTTTACGGTTGACGCAGACGACTGTCCTCACTGCAGAGTTATCTGCAAATCCAGCGACTGCGTAGGCTGCCCGTAGCACCAGTGATAAGGACTACTGCATCCTGACCGTCACGTAGCGCATCACTCGGGCGCTCTTGTAAAGACAGGGGTGCTGGAGCAGCGAATCCATTGATGTGTTTGGACAGATAGTTGTTGGCTTCTTCCTCACGCGCCGCCACATCTTGAATGCCATGGGCGGGCGCATCCTCTGGTATGGGCTTGGGAAGCCGTTCCGATTGGGTACCAGATGCGAGCGCGATCATGACTTTCTGGTATCTGTTCTCGGGAAGGCTTCCATCGGTCCAGTCGACGTGACCAAATCCGGCCGCGTGGAGTTCTCTCTCCCAGTGCTCGGCCGGAACGATTGCATGCTTGCGACCGTCGTCGAAAAGCCACCAGCCCTCTAGAAGGCCAAAAATAAGGTCAATAAACGGTGCACTCTCAGTCATTTCAAGTATAATTAGGAATCCGTCATGTCTTAGGGCTTTACGGACGTTCGTAAGAGACGTGACGAGGTTGTGTGTCGCGTGAACAGCGTTGCTGGAAACAACGAGGTGCTGGCCGTGCAGTTCCTCAGCAGGGGGCTTCTCGATATCGTGAACGACGAATCGCATGAATGAGTATTCCTTGCCGAATTTGCGTCTGGCGTTGGCCACCATGGATGGCGACAGATCCGTAAAAGTATACTCGACTGGGAAACCAAGCGATGCCAGCATCGGAGCCAAAACATACGTAGTTCCTCCCGTGCCAGCGCCCATCTCTAGGATCTTAAATGGGCCTTGGTTATTTGGTAAATTTCCCATTAGTCGTTTGACGATGTCACGCATCTGGCCGTATTGCATGCGGTTGAAGGTGTGGTCGAGGTACAGTCCCTGAACAAGATCGCGGCCCTCCAAGGTCCCAAAAATCACGCGAATGCCATCCGTCGTGCCAGTGAGGACGTCAGCCAAATGCTTTCCAGCATAGTAAGTTAGCTTGTTGGCGACTGTAAATTCGGGGAAAGCCTGCAGGAGCTCCGCAAAAATCACATCGCTTGTCTTTCGTGGTACAGGAATATTGGTGCGTGTAATCTGTCCGCTGAACATGTCAATGTCGACCAGTCGAGTGCCCCACTCTATAAAATCGTACAGGAACTCTATCAGCCGTCCATGTTGTGGCTGAAACAGAACACGATCGAGAACCTGTCCCGGCTCAGCCGATCGAAGGTGACAGCCTAACTTCTCCAACTGTTCCACTACCAGCGCAGTGGAGAGGCGATTGGAGCCGGCGAGAACAAGTTTGTGAATCCTGTCAAGATTGAATCGTTTGATCTCTTGGTCTGTTAGCATCTTAACCAATCCGAATGATTGCAAGATCTCCAATTTGGAAATGCTTAAGTTCGTCTGGGCGGGCGGAACAGCGGCTGCTGTCGCTACCGGCTTTGCCGGGTCTTCTACAAAGGTAGGCTTTACTTCAGGATAACCTGGACTAGTTGATCTAGTGTTATCTGAATTATATTCGGGTTGGCTCTGAGACGAATAAGAATCGTCGTCGTCATCTTCATCATCAAGTTCAACAGGCTCATTAGCGGTATCGCCACCTCCCTGCCCGTAAAGGGCATTATTGAGGCACACCACGAACTTCCGCAGCGTTGTCGCCTCCATCAGCTCCGTTTGATCCAAGGTGCACTTGAAGGTACTCTCTACATCGCGGGCCACCTCCATACCCATCAGGGAGTCGATGCCGACATCTGCCATTTCTGTATCGAGCTCAATCTCGTGAGCTTCGACGCCTGAAATGTTGGCAACTAGGTTTCTGAGGTCATTCGTGATGTCTGGGCGGGAAGTTCTCACTGTACTCTCCTTCGTCTTGTTGCTCTTCTTCCTATTGGCTGTCTCTTGCACGGCAGGCTCTTTATTGTTAACATTGTCGAGTGACTGGGGTTGTTGGGGGATGGGACTGGGAGTAGAAGTGGTTATGGTCGCCATAATAGCCTGCCCTTGGGAAGGCTTGACCTTCAGCACTGACTCGTCGGTAGTGAGTCTCGTTAACATTCTGCTCATTGAAGCCTTGGCGACCCTTGCAAAAGTTATACCAATCATCACCTCAGTCAGCATACCGTTGCTGGCATTGAAGACAAACACATCACTGGTGTATACTTTTTCGGCTTGGCGATGATGGCGTGCCAGGACGTGCCAGGTCTCCGGAAACTCCTCCTTTCCCAGCTTGGCGATGCGTGGCGAACGCATCGACATCTCGCAGCCAGTGGCAATGAACATGTCATTTGTGGGACGATCTGTCATGCAGTTGATATACAAACCGCCGACTTGGCTGAAAGAATCGCTCAGTGGGACGTCCAGCCAAGTCTCCCCGCTATGCTTCATTCGTACGCGTCCAGCACACTCGCCAGTACGGCCAACGACTCGGCGAACACCACGGTATATCTCACCATACTCCACGACCTCAGCAAAGGCCCGATATACGTTACGGCCTTGAAGGATGTCGACGTCTTCGTCGTCAGACATGCTAAGAATGGACGTGCACTGAGCATGGGTGACCAGTCTCTCGAACCGGCCAAACTCGTTTTGGTAGGTGACGTCGTCGGGTGAGCGTATGTTCAGTTTGGCTTCTACATGAACGTCACTGCCGCCGCTGTTGGAGGTCGAGAAGATCTTCCATCCCCAGAGTGTATTGTTGTCGTTGAGAGTTTCAAACTCAAGCCATACTGTGCGTGTGGGATCTACACACAGCGGCGAGTGGTTGCCCATCTCAAGGACAACGGGCTGCATCGCGGTGGTAGCCCACTGAGGGTGTAGGCTGAATAATGCTTCGATAGCCATGTCCACCAGTAGCGTGGCAGGGCAGATGGGAGCTGTCTGCGCAATCAAGTGACCTGAAATGTAGCTTTTGTATTTATTGGAGCCGGTGTTGACGCGGAAGCGAGGTTTCTTCGCTTTGCCGTTCTGTTCTTCGTATCCAATGAATGACCACAGTCCGAGGAGCTTCTCATCCATAGACTGCTGCTGTTGTTCAAAAGCAGGCCCAGCGCGTGCTGTCAAGGCTGTGGCTGCCTCAGAGATGGCCTTCGCTGGGGACTTGAGCTCCATCCAATGTTGGACCTTATGAAACTGGTAGGGTGGGAGAAGTAGAGTCGCATACTCAGATGTTTGCAGAGGGTGGTGGGCCCAGAACGAAACAGGCAGGCCTTGCTTCCAGAGAGCAAGAGTCGCATCGGTCAGGCCCTCGAGACCCTTATCGGTGTTTGTGAGGCTCAGTGCCTGGAAGTGATGTTCGTCTGGTTTTGCCCCAGCGGCGAGAGCTCTGCTAGCCATGATTGTAATGGTAGAGGCGGACCCTGCCTCAAGCCAGATGGCCGATGGGTGGTCATTGCTTATTCGGCGTACCGCATGGTTAAAGTATACAGGCTTCCTCATATGATCAGCGACATATGCCGAAGTTATCTTTGAGCCAGCCGCTTGCCTGTTCTCAGTAGCACGTTCAAGAGGGATGACGGGATTAGAGAAGGTTAAGTTTCTACCAATTCCTTCTAGGCGGCTGACAAGTGGCTCGACAAGGGTGGAGTGGAAAGCGTTGGTGACATTAAGCCTCTTACTCTTAAGAGGTCCAAATTGAGGAATTGTCTCGGCAACCAAGTCAATAGCTTCGGAAGGCCCAGCCAGCGTGAAGCTTCGCGGGCCGTTGTAGCAAGCGATGCTGGCAGGATACTCGCCAGCATATCTTCGATTTGCTTCTGCCAAAATCTTGTGAACGTCTTCTACGTCTGCCTCGATGGCCATCATGGCGCCAGAGTCGGGGCCCCATCCGTCGCGAATCAATTTTGCCCTGCCAGCGACCAACTTAACTGTATCGCGGAGGCTCATTGTACCTGACACACACAAAGCTGTGATTTCACCGAAACTGTGGCCGACAACTGAGACGATCTTGCCCGCAAGGCCGGAATCCATCCAGCACTTAGCACAGGCGTACTGCGAGGCAAACAACATGGTCTGCAGCTTGACTGCGTCCGTGATGGGCGACCGCAAGAAAATGCCAGGATAGAGGCTGCTCAACCCAAGCGACCGCATTACAGTATCGCACCGGTCCAAGTGGTAGCGCAGCAGAGTCACTGAATCGTACAGCTTACGATCCAGACCGATAAAGGTGGACACTTGACCGCCGAAACATAAGACAACGGGACGTTCATTTTTAAGAGGAGCAATCACATTGTCTGGTTTGCTAAGCTTGTCTTCGAGCTCGGACACTGAGCGGCAAGAGAATATCAGGCCATGCGGCAAAGAGCGGTTAGATTGTCGATTCACGCTGAACGAAACGTCAGCTAGAGAGAGACCAGCTTTCTCTCTCATTTTCAAAAAGAGCATAAGCTTACAGCAGTACGCAGTGATGCTACGAGTGTCAAATCCAGTTATCCAGAAGGGGAACGATGCCTTATTCACACCGTCACCACGAATAAATGCAGACGCCTGGCCGCTGCTGTTCTGGGAGGATTGGGTAACGATCATAGAAGCGTTGGACCCAGAGGCACCGTAATTGTTGATAAGAGCTATTTTGTACTCATCGTTCCACGGTCTAAGAGCAGTCGAGACCTCCATCATGTCTGTCGGTGATGTCTTTATGTGATGGCTCATCTTGGAGAAGCTGGCTTGCCGAGGAATGTAGCATTCCTGCATCATCATAATAATCTTGATAAGGGAGACGGCGCCGGATGCTCCTTCGCTGTGGCCGATGTGTCCCTTGACCGAGCCAATAACAAGTGGTTTGGATCTAATTGGCCCTCCTAACGCTTGCCGGATACTCTCATACTCGGCAGGATCTCCTATAGGAGTTCCAGTGCCGTGGGCCTCCACCAGGGAGACATCGCGCGGGTTAACATGCGCCTTCTTTATGACGTCGGTGAACAGTTGAGACAAGGATGGAGAGTTGGGTACAAAGAGCGGGGTGCAGTTCTGGTTCTGGTAGACGGCGGTCGAGGGGATGCAGCCTAGGATTGGGTTACCATCGGCGATGGCGTCGGACATCTTCTTGAGGAACACGCAAGCAATGGCCTCGGCACGACAATAACCATCTGCTCCCTCATCAAAGGCCTTACACTGGCCAGTAGGACTTAGGAAACTTGCACCAGCAAGATTTTGAAACCACAAGAAGTTGGTTATGGTGGAGACACCGCCAGCAAGTGCAGCCGTACATTCGCCAGACAAGATGTTGCGGCACGCGGTGTGAATGGCGACGGTAGAGGCTGAGCAGGCCGTATCAAAGGTCATAGAAGGGCCGGTCCAGCCAAAGTAGTGCGAGACCTTGCCTGGGATGAAGCTCTTGAGGTTACCCGTGGCGGTAAAGGCATTAGCGGTATGACAGGCTGCGTGGTGCTCGTAGTCACCCGCGCATGCTCCAAGGTAAACACCGACGTGCTTCTTGTTGCGTGTTGGAGAGTCAGATGTTGTCTCTGTGAAGTAGCCTGACTGCTCGACAGCTTGATAGGAAGCTTGCAGGAAGAGCCTTTGTTGCGGGTCCATGGTCGACGACTCGCGAGGGCTGCGCTTGAAGAACTTGTGGTCGAATGCGTCCACATCGCGGATAAAATTTCCATACCATTTGCGCTTTGGATCTTTGTCATCCTCTCGGTACAGAGTGTCCATCATTAGGCGCTCCGACGTGATTTCCTCGTGCTGCGACTCGCCTGTACGAAGCATCTGCGAGAACTCATCTACGTCATCGGCACCTGCCACCTTGATCGACATGCCGACTACTGCGATGGCATCTTCGTCCACGTGCAGCTGCTGCGACTGTTGTTGATGTAATGAGTGCGCTTCGGGATCCAACACGCTGGCAAGACGCTGCGGCATTTCCTCGTCTAGGTCGGCAAACTGCATCAACCTGGGGCCTAGACAACGCATTAGAGTTGGTGGAACGCATCGATCCGGGCCGAAGGAAACAAAGATAGTGTCATGGCCAAGGTTGGCTTGCACTGCAGCAAAAGTGTTATACCAATTGCTTTGCCGCACAAGAATGGCGTGTAATGCAATCTTGGTCAGACTTCCGGCGCTGCGTTCGATCGACTTGCCATCCACAGCTTCGTTGGTGTAGGTCGGTAACGCCAACTTAGAAGCGTCTGGAAAACGAAGATCAGGGATGCTGTCACAGTACTCGATCAGAGCGTTCGTCAAACTGAGGAAATCCTCGCTGGGGCTGTGGAAATGTCCACGGAGGCCAACTTCGGCCGCGGTGATGCCATAGTCTCTTGTTGCTTGGAGAAAAGCGGGCGCAGTCTGCTGCGATGTCGTCACTGTAACCCGGGCCTCATCATAGATCACCGAGATGTAAGCCTGGGGGAACAGACTGTCGATAATCTGATGCATATCTTGACATTGTTGGGCACTACGCCACGCCGTGGCGTATGACTTGGACTGGCCATGGCCCAGCTCCCTGTTGCACGCTTCTTGAGCGTCAACAAGGGCGCCGACAAGCATAGCCAGACGCACGGCAACGGCCCCATACTTCTCAAATTCGTCCTGATTGTTTGCGCTCGCCACAGCGAAAGCGCTGAGCAAACCTGTGCAGAAACCGAGTGTCTGTACCTCGTTAACCCCACCATTCTTCTGTCGTGCTACTAAGTCTGCTTGGAGATCGATTTTCGCTCCAGCCTCTTTTGATTGTTGATTAAGCTCAAGGTAACGCCAGTACTGTGTGAGTTGGGTGAGAACTACCAGCGGGGTGAGTATCAGGTTCGGCAGCTGTTCCAGCCTGTCGTCTTCGAGAGGAGCTCGTCGAAACCACGAGTCCAAGTCTGCCAGGTGCTTTTCGCCTTGGACAGCGCCCTTAATTTTGGGTATTACTTCTGTCAAGGCATCCCAATATTGTGGCAACTCGGCCACTGTATCAAGAATCCAGTCCTGCCCAGCAACCTCACTTGAAAGGGTGCGCCTAAGCGTTTCGAATTGTCTGTTAAACGAAAGGGCCTGGGGCCCAAACAAGAGGATCGCCGACTCCTGCTGATCGATGTATACCATGCTTCCTACGACGGTAGATGTGAACTGTTAAGGAGGGATGATGCGTTGTTGCAGAGGTAGGTACAGTCCGCTTAGTGTTAAATCTAGAATTGAAAAATCATCTCGAGGTCTTCATCAATATTGTACTACGACCAGGTGCCAGTCGAATCATATTAGACGGCCAAGGTCTGCATATGCGACTTAGAGCTACAATACGGACAGCCGATCTCCGTTCGTTATTCATGAGAAGAGGCTAAAGTCTAGAATCCGTCGGGATTTTCTGCAACTTACATTCCCTCGGAGTTGCATCGCTCTTGCGTTGACAGTGTAATGGCCCCAAAACCGGTCGAGAAAAGAAAGTCCGGACGCAACCCCGGAGCTTGCATCCTTGCGCCTAGGTGTAGAGCTCTCTCAGGGACTCGATGATTACCTGGGCGGGACAATGCAGCTCCGGGCACGTGGCGTCTGCGACTCCCTCAATTCAAACTCGAGCAACAACAGCATTGAGCGCAATAACTTCAATTATCTGGTTTAAGAGTGCCAACTCATTATGGACTCTATCAAAATTCCGGATGGGCTACCTAACTTGGTTACAGCCAGGTTTTAGAGAGCGAAGGAATCAGGTGACCTCATCTCCTTCGACACCACGACCACGGTGTTGGACGTGAATGGCATTCCTATAATTATATAACTATTCCGTCCCTGTTCCTTGCTGCATTTATTTGACTTTTCTTCCTCCTTGCCTTGGATTTATACCTTCCTCGTTCTTAACGCTACATAAGCTGGCGTGTTATGCGGCGGTAGATACGTTCAAGGCGAGTAGCGTCCGTCACGGGGGACCGACGGTTCCAAACCGCCGCCGGTCTGAAGATTTTCCAAGAACCACGGTTTGGCTCAACCAGGCTTCAAAAAGGCTCGGGCAGTTCTACCAAGCTGGCCGAGCTGCCGCTTGAGCCGTGCCGATTCTCTAGGCCGGCCTACAAATAGTACGTAGGATCAGTAGGTAATTAGATAGTTCAATTTGATTCTATTACGCTATATACTAGTTCATATACTGTACGCTACTCGGTGTTCCACCCACTCGCTTCGCTCGTAGGTGGCGACAGCAAGTTGTGCGTGCGACAGCAAGATGTGCGACACATAAAACGAAGAAAAAGACGCCTTATATATCAACTATATAACTATATAATTAAAACATAAAATCAATAGAACTACTATCACTATCGCTACTGCCACTATTGCTACTATCACTTTGATCCTTACTATACCGTAAAATGATCACTTTTGATTTCAACCCTTCCTTCTTCCGCTCTGCTACCCGCTTCCTCTCAACCTTACGCTCTTCAATTTCGATTTTACGTGCTTGCGCTTGTAGCTGCTTTACTACTTGGTCCGATTCCCTTGCTGCTCTTGCGTCTGCTTTTGCTTGCAACTTTGCTTTCTTCTCTTCCCGCATTTTCCGTGCATCTGATGCATATAACTGCCCTCCTTTCTGTAGTGATTTCCGTGCCCTTGCCTTTGCTGCCTTCTGCTCTACTGCACGTAGAGTCATAATATCTAGCTCGGTCTTATAGAGCTCTGCCCGGTGTAGAACAACTGTAGTTCCACGTGCAAATGATTGAAACCCTTCTCTTGAAGGCGATGAGAAAGCTTCCTCTGCTCTCTTCTGCCAATGTTCAACCGCTTGCACACTTTGCATAGTTGTTTTCGGTGTTGAGATAATATTATATGAAGCAAATGGCTCATAATCAGGTGTTTGATTCCGAGTCTCTTGTATCTTGTCAATTACAAGTGGAGGATTATATGGATATAGTCCTGTATTTCTCCAACCAGATTGAATTGTACGGACAGTTAGAGATTGCCGTCGGATTTGCGGGAGGTCTGAAAGGAACGTACGTAGCTTATACTCATAGTCGTAGCTACGTACTGCTTGATCAAGTGCCTTTTGATGAAAGTGTTTGCACTGCTTAAAAACCGCTACATCAAGAGGTTGTAATAGATGTGTTGTATGAGCAGGAAGGCAGCAAATAACAATGTTATGCTCTTCTGCTAATGTAAGAAAGCGCTCTGTTTTATGAGAGTCATGGCCGTCAAGTAATAAGAGGCGAGTATCATCTGGTGCCATATGCTCTGCAGATAGTTGGATAAAATGCATAAGGTATTGGATTGCAATGTCGTCGTTTGAATACCCGCTCTCATTTACAATAATGAGAGCATTTGGCTCAAGGTCATCATTGTACCATGAATCCATATGAAGTTTGCCAGGGATAATGATAGCTTCTGCAAGTGCAGCACCACTTGCATTTACTGCCTCAATTACAGTAACAGAGAGCCGATTCTCAGGATTATCAACAGTCCACTGCTTTACACCGATTGGTACAATAACAGCCGTAGACTTATAACACCCAATCATATAGCCTGTCTCATCAACATTCCATAAATTATATGGCTTAATGTTATGTTTTGTAATAAGGGCGTTATATGTGAGAAAGAATTCCTCAAACACCTCTTTCTTTTGTGCTTGCTTCCGATGTGTATTAAACGTCTTCGTGTGAATTGTATGAAATTCGGGGTGTGCTTTTAGAAAGCGTTGTAGCCACCGTTGTGATGGTATCGTACGATTAGGTCGTAAGTCTGCAACTGCCCGTAGTATCATAGATCGGTTGGCAGGGACCCCGCGCTCAAGTTGGTCGTATATGAATTGACAGACCGCGGTCTCTTGCGATTGAGATAAGACTCGATTGCTACCTCCGTGGGGTAATTGAGGAGACGTAGTACTCGTAATACGACGTCGGAGTGTCTCACGGTTGACATTGAATTTATTTGCAACCCAAGCAATTGTATATGTACTTGGTTGTTTTAAGAAGAACTGTTGGGCCTCATTAAGGCGAGCAATCATAGTAGGATCGTTATTTTGAGGCATTGTAGATACTACGTTATGAAGAATACTATTATTTTTTCTATATATCAAAATAGCGGTGTACGCACATCTTGCTGTCGCACGCACAACTTGCTGTCGCCACCTACGAGCGAAGCGAGTGGGTGGAACACCGAGTACAGCCTCTAATCCGCCTGCATCACTTTGCCATGCCAAAGTGATAATCAGCCAACTAGCTGAGTAATCCCTATCGCACAGGTAAAACTCTTAACAGGTTGAGCACAAATTTGGAGTTTGACGACTTAATTGAGTAAACTACAGGTGCGCAGCCACAGAGATATTCTGTTTACGGTTTATTACGATCGCGATGTCTTTGGTGACCGGGCCTTCAGGCTTTTGCGCAACGGGCAGGAAAACTCGACAGTAGACTACAGTATATAGGATAAAAATAAATTAATTGAATTACTACACTATCTACGGAGCCTACGTATTATTTATGTTATTCGGAGGGCCTGCCCAAATCCCCCGAGTAGCAGAAGGGTTTGGGCCTGAAACCTAATGCGCTGGAGTTCTGAGGCAAATCGGCTCACGCCAAGCACCAATTGGGGGGGAGCCTGACGATAACACTGGGAAAAGCTGCCATTCCAGGGCCAAAATGCCACCGTTTCCCACGGTGCACATCCTCTTTCCCCAACATACTCGAGTAGATAGCGCAGCAGTTGAAAACCATTGAACCAGGCAAAAGTGGAACGCCCACACTTTCGCAGGTTCAAGTCGGTTTATATTTTACAACAGCAGCCTACGAGACACCAGTATAAAGCTGGGGTGGAGGGAAGCCAGAACCAAAGCCAATAGTCGCTATATTTATCCAGACGTACAGTTAACAATACAGAACCCCTTCTCCTAGGCCTTCCGGACCAGTGCCCCGGACTACCGTGAGACCTTGGGTCCAGGCTTTACAGATGTGCAATGCCACGCTTGAACTCTATAAAAAAGACTTTGCTCTCCTTCCACTTTAGTCACGTTTCTAACAGCTATATTCAATCACCCTAGCGCCTCATCCCTCAGCCTTGCGCTCCACCCCAACCGCCGCCCCTAACTAGGATCTCTTCGCAGTCCTGTCTCCTGACTTCTTTGAATGTTAGGGTGTTGACGGTGAAACGCGTCTAGCAACTCTAGACAGCTAAGGTTTTCTACCGTTTTCTATGAATTGTCTGTAGGTTCATAACCTTTCCATTTTATCAAAAACTCTTCCTTGCATCCTACTAACCTTCTGTCTAGGGTCGCTTCGATTTCATATTCAATGATCTAGTTGGAGTTCTGTATCAGTTGTAATCGAGGTGTTTCCTCTTGCTAGTTCTAACAGTAAGACATGAAATACTAGGTGTAGTCTAGACTTCTTAGCTAGCTGCAGTCTGTAATTAACTAAGCTGACTTTGTTCAATATTTTGAATGGTCCCAATTTCTTGAAGTCCAACTTCGTACTTGGTCGTTTCATTTTGATGTGTTTCTAGAGTAGATATACTTTATCCCCCTCCTTAAAGGCAGGTTCCATACTACACTTCTTGTTTGCATACGCGGCAGATCCTCATTTTGTTTGGGACATACACTAATCCTTTAAATCGGATCAATCCTTGTTCATCGATGGCGAAGTCGCCTTTGGTTTTTATTAAGACTCGCTTTGCACATTCGTCTGTTGCATAAGCTTTCTTGAGTCTTTCTTCCAACTCCGAGTTCTCCACAGTGGCAATCGTGGCTAGCAACTTGTTGTATTGCATTCCTGCATCTGTTTTCTTTAATATGGCTCTAGGTCTTTCCTAGGGCTGATGTAGTCAGTCCTTCTACTAAGAGCATCTGCTCTTGCATTCTCAGAGTCCTTGTGATATGTAATCGTGAAGTTGTAGGCTGCGAGTGTTTCTGCCCATCGGACTTGTCTGTGGTTTAAAACCTTGGTTGTAGTGAAGTATATGAGATTCTTATGATCCGTCTATACCTACATAGGGTAGGTCAATCCCTCAAGATATACTCGCTACTGCTCAAAGGCAACGACAATAGCTATCAGCTCCTTGTCGTAGATGTCATAGTTGAGCTCCATAGGTGACAGTTTTCTAGAGTAATATGAGACTGGCTTGAGCTTTCTGTCTTTGTCTAGTTGACTCAGACATGCTCTAATTGTGAAATCAGAAGAGTCCATTTCTAGTACTATCTTCTTTGTAGGGTCGAATGTGGCTAAGATAGGTGCTTCTATGAACTTCAGCTTGAGTTCTTAGAAAGCAGCTTCTGCCCTAGACCTTCACAACATTCTGGGCTGAATTCCAGAGACTCACTGCAGAGCTGGACTACTCAGAAGAGACCTTGCTTGACGATCTCCGATTTAAAATCAACCAAGGCATGCAGAAAGCCCTTGTTGCAGAAGTGGGAGCTACCACCCTACATGAATTCGCGAAGAAATGCATGCTTGTGGACCAAAACCTACAGAGAATTCAAGAAAAGGAGAAGAGAATGAAGCCACAGCCGTTCGCCTACCAGAAGCAGAGTG